AGCAGGAATCCACGCAGAAATCCTCATCTATCTGGAAAAAGACACTTAGATGAGCAGATATTTTGTGCAGAACCTTGAATGAGCTAGCAGCGAATAAAAATTTGCTCTGTAATACTTTACAAACATGGTATGAATGTTTACCCACCGTATGCCTATGTTTGTTTAGCTTAATGGAGGTCTTCAAGGAAAAAAACAACTAGAATGGCAAACGAATAGCTCAAAATAATCTCTTAAGAAACAGGAAAAGGCCAAGGGAGCGGGGAATACAGGAGACCAAAAAGAAATCTGGCAGTTTAAAAGAAGACTCTCTCATAAAGGTAATGTTCAGGAATTATGTTTAGGGGAAATAAATGAAGAAACAGACACTTGCTGGGGCATCTGAAGAAGATAGGCTTGCCTAATTTATCAGGGAATAGTCACACCTTAGGTGAGACAGTGGTATATAGATTCTTTTTAAAAAATTCTTTCTTCTCTAAATGCTTTGCTCTTCCTGCTAAAAAAAATGCTTTGATTTAAGTAAGCTGTTTGGTCACTTGGTTAGACTCTCTCAGAGAATAACACAGTTTCTGAAGTCAGCCAGACTTGCTGAGTAAGTAGACGTGCTAGTCAGGGCGAGGTCCCCTTGGGTCTCTTCCAGGAAGGGGAGGATTTTGGATTCCAGCCTCAAGGTGGAAAGGTAAGGGCACAAGGCACAGCACTGATGAAGGTTGTCTTCAGAGAACTTGCAAAGGGGACACACAGCAACCTGTTGTCATCTGCCTGTTTGTATAAAATCTACCTACTGTAGCGAGAGACTTGGGTGTTAAGGAAGGGGTTTATCCTACATTTCCCATTTCTAAGAGAGTGTCATAGGCTCATAGGAAATTAGGGCTGGAAGGCATCTCACAAGGTCATCTAGTCCAGCCCCCTGATCAAGGCAGGGACAATCCTCCCACCCAAGCGTCTGTCCAACATGCTCTTGACTATTTCCAAGGATGATGATTCCACAGCTTCTTGAGATAGTCTTTTGCAATGCTTGAGCACCCTCATAGTCAAAAAAGTTCCTCCTAATCTCCAATCTAAATTTCCCCTTCTACAGCTTGAGGCAATTGCTCCTAGACTCTATGGCCACAGAGAAAAGCTTATCTCCAGCCTCTCTGTAATTGCCCTTCAGGTATTTGAAGACTGTTATCAGTGCCCAGCACCCCTGTCCCCCATCTTCTCTTCTTCACACTAAATAACCCTAGTACTTTCAGCCTTTCCTCATAAGTTTTGCCTCTCAGGTCCCTAATCATTTTTATCATAAGCCCCAGGCTATAAAATAGGCAGAGTGGAGTAGCTGTCTGTTGAAGAAGGTGGGCTGTTGAGCAGCCAAGAGTACCAGAAGGATCAAGCGAGAGAGAGCCTGACTGTATCCCACTTGATACTGTCCTCCCTGCAGCAGGAAGGCCTGGTTTCTAGTCCTACTATGAAGGTTAGTTCTATTTTTTAAATCAGCCTGACTAATTCAACTGCATAAGCAAGGCTGGGAGGGAACAAGATGTGGCCTGCCTAAGGGAAGAGGCTTGATTTCCAGTCTGCACAACCAGAAACACAGCAGTCTCTGAGGTTTGTGAGGCTGCCACATGAAGTAACCTTTGCAACCTAAGTGTCTGACATGGCAGCTAGGACAGGTGCCAGATTCAGAAAGGCAATATTACAATTTATGCATGATTGACCAGCTTTGCCTTCTCAGTCCCTTCATCCAGGGAAGCCTCTGATTGCCAGTCACCCAGACTGACATGTGCTTGAAAAACAGAGCAAGTGTTTTTCAAGCCATTGTAGCTGGCCCCCCTCCCTGATTTGTGCAGCTCCATGAATTGCAAACTGCACACTGCAGGAAAGATGAGGGTAGGTTGTATCCAGCCTGCCATTTATGCCCGCATTTATGCCCAGAAGACTGGGGAGGCATGACAGTCATGTTGAAGCATGTGTGTCCCCTGGAGGAACCCATGCTGACTACACATCTTGAACCCCCCACCCAGGTATGGGAAGGTAAATAATTTTTGTCCTGTTTCTAATGAGAACTGAAATCCAGGTGTAGTCATATAGCTTCAAGGTGTAGGGCTTGATTAAATGTCAAAAATCAAAAGAACTGGCAACACTGTAATTATCACACATTTACTGGGGATGTGCAAGGACATTTGGAAATTAAAAGAGCCTCCCTTCTCCCCAAAAAAGCTTGATGATTTGGAGGCCAGTTTTCTTATTTTTATTTTGGAGTCCATCTCTTAAACTTGGGCTGTCTGATTCATGAGTTTTATACTTTTGTGATGCAAGATACTAAGAAATTCATTGTATGTTTTAAACTGGGAGTGGATTAAACATATGTTTTGGACCTAGGAGTTTAGAGATAAAAACCCACAGGGACTCTCTCCCTCTCTCATACACATATGCACATGCATGTACACGCATGCGCATGCATACACAGACATGCACAGCCCCCTTGCCAGGTGAAAGATGAGGCACCTTAGCAGGTAGGGAGCGGAAGCCTGCTCTGAAGCTAAATTAAGAACCTCAGTTTGAGGAGCATCAAATTCATGTATGCCAAAATGTATTATTATGGTTTTGGTATTGCTGGAGTAATGTTGAAGTCATGATGATTCAGGAATTATGGATAAGGCAAAGATTTTTGTGGATATCTTTTATGGGAGCAACTGCATGGTTGGGATTGACTTAAAAAGAATACATTGTATTTGGGAATGTGTTGGGGTCCATCCTGCCCATGCGGCTGGTCCAATAAAAGATACTACCTACAAAAATCCTTGCCTCTCACATATTATTATTGGTGATCTAATTGGACTGAATGTTAGGGGTTCTGCAGAAAGGTACATATTTCAGCAGATGCTTGTTATTCAGAGACTCCAGTCACCTCTCTTTTTGCTATCTCAGAAGGTGAGATGCCAGGTACATCTTGTTATCAGAATAAATTGGAATAACCAGATTGGATACAAATGCAGTTGAGAGAGAGATTCCAACAGCACAGACTTATTTGGGGGTAGCTAGGTATTTCTAGCATAGAGCTTTCTCCTTTCCAAATGAATTAGGAAGTGCTCGGTGCTCAAAGGCCTGGGAGCTCTCCACCAGGAAGCACTAGCCGGTGGTGCTAGGGCCATTTCAGAGCTGCGGAGAGGCCAGGAGGAACAAGGTCTGGCCAGAGCAGTTGTATGGTGATAATTGTCCAGTGTGGTATTTTGTTGCCAGATGTAGTTACTTTTAGGGTTTCCTAATGACAAAGGGTTGTTCAAGTGATGGATCAGGTGTCAATGTAATGTCAATGTAATGTGTAACACTTGGTAAATAGTCTAGGACTAGGGCAAAGTTCAGGATCAGGAAAATCAGGTCTTATGTTTTAATAAAATATTTGGGGATTTTTGTTTTTTCCCCCCTCAGTTCCACAGAATCAAGGGTCAGTTAGTATATTCATAACAGATATGACCAGATCCAAAGTACATGCAGACTAGATCAGAATTAAAAGTACAGCTTCAGGGAGTGTGCAGCTTGGTGTGAAACCCAATGCGCCCCAGGAGAGGGGGATGATTGGCCAGTGCCTCAGTGCAAAACTGCTGCAGCACAAATAGGAAGCTTTTCATTTAGTGGATTGCAATACTGAGGACCGTGAGATATATCTGTATATCTATCTATATATGTATACATATATAGATATATAGATATATATATATATAGAGAGAGAGAGAGAGAGAGAGATATCTCCTATTTGTAACTCCCATTTGTGTGTATGTGTATATGTATATAGGTATGTGTGTACCTATCTATCAACAGAGACAGAGAGATATATCTGTCTCTATAGATAGATAGATAGATAGGTACACATACATATAAAGACGTGTCTATATATGTACATTTACAGTAGTGTAAAAGTGGTGTTGTAGAAAACGGCTATAGCAGGAATAAGAGACATTTCATTTAGTGGATTGCTATGTTGAGCGTAGTGAGATATAAAACAATCTCTATATAGATATATAGATATATATTTTCTCCTATTTGTAACTCCCATTTATGTGTGCGTGTGTGTGTGTTGATATATAGATATGCCTATATAGAAAGATCTTTTATATATGTCTATATAACAGTGAAAGAGTGCTGTTGTGCAAAACTTAGTGGGTTGCTATATTGAGCCGGGTGAGATCTGTGTGTACTGCATCTATCTACGTGTAAATAGATAGATATACCCATATATACTGTACATAGATTTATAAATATCCCCTATATAAATATGCATGTCTTTATAACTCCCACTTTTGTGTGTATGGATATTTATGGCTTGTTATATGCATTCAGTGGCTTGCTCTGTTCAGGGCAGAGACTCATTGGGTTGTTTTAAAAAAACCCAATGAAATCCTTGAAACTGCTTAGGGGCACCGGCAGTGTTTTCTGTCATCTCTATGTTTATATGCTATAGAGAAACTTATAGCTCTATGTTTATACTCTATATAGGAACATGTATCTGTTTATATGCAGTATAGCAACATGTGTCTCTCTATGTTTATATGCTATATAGTGATAACATATATTTCTATCGCTATGCTGATATCGATATAGTGGTAACATATATTTATAATGAGAAATCTCCTACTTGTAACTCCGATTCGCGTGTGTGTATTTGTGTATACACACCCAGGGGGCGGGGCTGGCACAAGCCCCGCCCCCTCCCCGGAGCAGACGCAGAGCGGGCGGCGACGGGTAGAATGCGCGGAGGCGCCACTGCCACTAGGTGTAGTCGTGGCCGAGTGGTTAAGGCGATGGACTAGAAATCCATTGGGGTCTCCCCGCGCAGGTTCGAATCCTGCCGACTACGTTTTCGCCTTTTTTGTATTATTATTTTTTTACAGTCATTTTTATTAGCTCTTTTTCCTTCCTTCTCCCCACAGGGCAGGAGCCCGCGCCATGCAGCACAGCGCCGCGCCCGCCGTGCTGGGCACCACCAGGTGAGCGGTCCCGCGGGGACAGAGCCCGGGGCCTTTCGGGCCTTGTGCAGGCCGCAGGCGGGCGGGGGTGCCCGGGGCCCAACGACACGGGGCGGTGGGTGGGGAGGCAGCCAGACAGGAGCGGAGCTGGGTGGTGAGGTGGCCGAGCCGGGCCTGTGAAGAGAGCAGCCCCAGACTGAGCCGGTGTAAGAACAGTTGTGTCACGTTTACTTAAAAGATGTGCTTTTACCTCATGTGTGGTTGGTCTGAAAGATCTCCCTGACTCGCCTTTACTCCTGTCTCTCAGAAAAAAGATAGATATCTATTTTGGGGGGTTTCTCAGTTGGTCTGATACCAGGTATCTAGCGGGTCTAGATTTTGTTGCATTTCTTTTTGTCCCAGACCAACGCGGCTGACAGCCCTGGACTCGCCTTTGGCTTTTGTTCCCCCCCTTGCGTTACCTTTTGTTTTCCTAATTTCCAACTATTTACATTTTCACTGACATCCCGTCACGGTTTTAGCTGCTTTTATTCCTTGGAGACTCGGACGAGGCTGAAGGTGGTTCCTTATTCCCCGCTTCTTTTTCAAAGCGAATCTATGCTCAGTACAAGCTTGTTATTATTAACGAATTACACATCCTGAAGACCGAGAATTGCGTTAGCTCTGCATATGTATTAATATGTAAAATAATATCCTGTGTCAAGTACATTTGTGTGCATGTGTGTGTGTGCATAGAGGTATATAGGTATGTGTGTGTATCTATCTAGATACAGATCGGTATCTATCTATCTATCTATACATCGGTATCTATCTATTTCGATTTGTATCTATCTATCTATCTATCTTAGATCTAGATCTAGATCTAGATCTGTATCTATCTAGATATAGATCGGTATCTATCGATCTATAGAGACAGAGATCTAAATGAAGGTCAGATTAAAATGGGATTATGAGGCAAAATATAGCTTGGACCACCCCCAAACCTCCTCTCAATGCCAGTGGGGGTCTGTCCCAAACATTAGCTCTTAAACAGGAACCGGGTTTAAGGAATAAAGGACCGGAAATAAGCAACCAACTTCTTCCTCATGAGTCTCAGACCGCAGAGACTCCCTAGGCCTGATGAAGGGTGATTGCACCTGAAAGCTTGCTAAGACCCTTTTTCCCCCAGCTACTCAGCTGGTTTGATAAAAGATATCACATCTCAAAGAACCTTGCCTGCCTAATAAAAGATATGCAAAAATCTAGATCTCTTGTTTTTTTGCGTTTCTTTTTGTCTCAGACCAACACGGCTACCAAATACATCCCTAATAAGACATCACATTTACTTAAAGAGCTTTGTCCGCCTATGTCCTTCGACCATCACAGCTGCAACCAGCAAGTCATCTCAAACTACAGCCAGTGTATTTTTCTAGATTTAGTAAAAGTTTCTTTCTCCTTCTGAAGATTGAGTTTTGTGGCAGGTTTGCTAAAAGGCATTTTTTTTCTGTGGAGCTGCTGGCCTTTCTGATTACTGGTAAGCAAAAGTAACAGCATAAACTAATGCAGATGTAGTTTAAAACAGTAAGCAAGGAATTCTTTTCATGTTCCCCTAAAAACAGCTAACAGAGTTTGTACCTAAATTCTTATTATTTAACTTGTTAGGTTGAGTGAAAGTGCAGGATGTTTTTCCAGCAGAAAAAGTTAAGACCTCATGAAAATTGGTTTGATGTAACTGAAGTGTCATCTGAAAAGAAGGCCCTGACTCTGCAGGATTCTTAATCACACACCTGTCTTTTAGCACATCAGTAGTTCTGTTTGCTGTCTGGGCAGAAACAATTTAAGCACACGGCTCAGTAAGACTGGGCCAGATTTATTTTGGAGCTCTGGCCTTGATCCTTCAAATGTACACGTAGCTTCCTTCACGCTGATGTTTTCTGGGCTTTAGACTAGGTACCAATCCTGCAAACATGTACATGTTATTTGTGCTACCACAAGCCGTTCCACTGGTAATGAGATTTGCTTGTGGTAGTAAGTGTAACCTCATGCCGAAATGCTTGCGGGACGGAAGCCTTAGATAATAAATACATTTTCTAGCACATGAGAAACAAAAAGTGACTGTGAGACTATTGCCCTTTTGTTCCATCTTTGGAGGGTGCTTTATGCAGCAGACTTCATCAGAAAGTAGCATCCCTAGGCTCTATTCAAATCCTGATAATTCTCAAAATACAGGGAAAAAATTGAACGCATCTTATCAGATGTGCATTAGCAAGCATCCCATTTTATTTTGGTTTATATTCTACTGGTATGGCCAACATTTCTCTCTCTCTCTCTCTCACACACACACACACACACACACACACACACACACACACACACACACACACACACACACACACACACTTTAAAATACATAAAATACTGTGAGATACAGACACACACACTCTTTAAAATACATAAAATACTGTGAATTCTGACCTGAGCCAGAGTGGACAGTGTGAAGTTACCCCAGGTACCATTGCATAAAGCAGGTAACTCCTACAGCACCTTGCCACTAGATGATGAGGGAACAGGTGACCCATTTGCCTTGATCAAATCACTAGCCCAGGATGAGCGTCAGGCAGAACCCACTTAGCGTAACTTGGTTCTTGCCGGAGATGTACTCCACTGGATTCAGATACTGGTGAGTTACAGCGGTGCAGAGCTGTATGTTGCGTGTCCACTCCTTTATTACAACAGTATAGGTGTACAGGTCCTGATTGATCCATCTGAAAAACAAGGTAAATAACCCACATGGACTCTGTGCTACCACAACTGGACTGCTCTGGTATCCCGTTCTGCAGTGTAGACATATTCTTACTCTCTGTACTCAAGCACAGTGGAGCTCTTTTGTGAGCTGAGGCCCCTAGATGCTACTAGCATTCAAATAATAATGGTACAAAATGAAATGGGCCCCATTAGGAATAATCATTTTCAAACCTAGACTAGTACAGTAATTAGAATCAGTTTCAGGTAATGGATTTCATTTCCCTGAGTTTCCCTGCCAGTCCTTGTGTGTTTTAGAATTACAGTGCAAGGGGAAAGAGAACAGAGGAAACTGATACCACCTGGGAAACAGTGATGGGAAAACTGACCAAAGCAAAACGCTGTCAAATGCGCAAAGCAAACAGACTGAAAATAAAATATCTCTGCCCCTCTAATCTGTCTTAGTTATAATAATTTCAGCTGTTAGACTTCTGACAAAGTGAAAATACAAGTTCAGGCATATGTGTCATTTTTAAGTGGCTATCCTCTTTAGAACTCTTTGATAAGTAGCTCTTGAAGTCACACTGGTGTTTGCCTGCCAGTGTATTTGAATTCAGTTGATGTCTTAATTTAAATTCCATTGACTGGCTGCTAGATTTCATCTAGAAAGAAAGAAGTGTTGTCTGGAAGGAAGAGGCCAAAATAATGATGGATGGTTTATCACTACTTTTCCCTTGTATTATTGTTGAGGGGGGGACAGATTGCTTTATGAATTCGTTACATATTGTATATCTAAAGATCTGTTACTGGAGTCATCAGTACCTGTTGACTGAGTTGTTGACTAACTCTTCCAGCTGCCCTCATAACTGCAGTGAGTAAACATCTGGAGAGTGTTTTCTTCAATGTAAATTTATATTTAAAAAGAACCGCGCAAGATGTTGCTGGCAGGTCTGCCATTAGTGGCCATTATTGGCTGCTGTTGAAGAAGAGACATCCATTGTTTACATATGGATTAAGTAGACTCATGCAGATATGTAAAGTGTGGGCCAAATTCTGATTTTACATCATGGCAGCCCTAGTAAAGTCAATGAGCCAATGAGCTGAGATCACATTGTGGCCTGCTGTTGTAAAATTAACTCCTCTTTAGTTTAGAAGGTGAAAAAGGAATTTGAGAACTTCCAAGAGAACACCCAAGTTATCAGACTGGTTTGATTTTGCACTTCATATTAAATAGGCATTGACTAAAACAATAGGAGATGGACAAAATCCAAAATGGATGGGAGAAGTGGTAAAATAGAATTTATACTAAACTTTCTTAAATTATTTTTCATAAGACAGTTCAAAGATGCAACATCAAGACAATCCTAATATAAGGCTGTTCATAGTATCATTAACCTGGCTTTCTTGTCATTTGATTGATCCCTGTTTCATTAGCTTCTAGGACAATGTGTCCTCCACTTCGCATTTTCTATCTGAATTATTATTATTGTTACCATCTGGGCCTTTGTCTATGTGATGTTTACTTGGTGAGATTCTGTCCGCTCTGATACTTATACTTCTTTCTATTTTTTAAATTGCTGTTCAAAAAAGATCGTGCTGTTTCTAGCACTGTTTTTGGATGCTTGTACTGCATTTCAGCTCTCAGCTCCCCTTGGTATAAAAGAAAAGTGCTTTCAAATCAGTTTACAATGTAAGGCCAGATCCTCATCTTATAAAATTGGCTTAAGAAGCTACACCAGTTTTACATGAGTGGAGGATTTGGCCCCCGCAATTTTTTGTACCTAGCACTTTACATATATTTATGGAGCACATTGTTTTATCCTTTGGATCCCCTATCCAATTGGAAACTGGGCTACAATATCTCTCTTACATTCTCTAGGAATTATTGTATATTTCATAAATACAGGCTATCCGTAAAAATCGGGGTTTTTTGAACCTCATACCCCGTGTGCCGTGTACTGTACTGCTTAGTTTTTCAGACCTCTGTCACAAACATTAATATGATGCTACAAAGCAACAATGAAGTTGTATCTTCAGGGTGGTTTGATGTTCATGTTATTAAAGAATGGTTGGTTTAGTTGTCAAGATGCTTCTCTAGGACTGAGGAAACACAGGCTCACTGTCCTGCTCTTCCACGTGTTCCTTGTGTGATCTTGGACAAGACACATAGGGACTGAAGGTCCCTAAGGTACACAGAGGGACTGAGCATCACCAGGATTGTCTTTTAGTTGCTCAGCTCCCAGAATGGAGTTTACAAACCTGAGTTAGGCACATAAGGTCCCTATGCAGCAAACAGGAAAAGTCAGATGCCTAGGACCTGGATTCACTATAGCAGTGGTTCTCAACCCTGTTAGACCCAAGGGCACCAAGGGAAAATCCCAACTCTTAGCTTTCATTTGTTCCTTGACTATAGGGAAAATAATAGATTCTTTCTTTGCAAAGAACGCAGAAAGGCCACAACAGGTCAGAACATTTTTGACATTGTGGATTCCAATTAAAAATTGCTAGGTTTATCTCGTGAATCACATGTAGGTATTTGTGCATCTAACAGTGCAAATATTCTGTCGCACCTGTAAAAGACTTTTGCAGCACCCTGGTTGAGAATTGCTGCACCACAGCTAGCCTGTTGTATGCTCAAGCCACACAAATGGAAAATTGAAGCTGAAGTGAGGGATGTGTCTGAAATCTTGGCTTTGTTCTGGATTTAGGTGCCTTAGCCCAAAGTCCTTAGGTGCCTTTGTGAGACTAGGATCCATAGCCTGAAACCCACTTCTGCACACAGGGGCCTAGCTTAAGCCAGATGGTTGCATCTTTTTTTTTTAAATACAGCTGGGAGAGAAGGCAGCAGTGGTGCTGTTTGCTGTGTAATTCCCTAGTGGTTAGAGCACTTGTTCTGGGAGTGGGAGGTCAAGGGTCAATGACCTCCTTTACCTGAGAGTTTGTCGGCCTTCTCCCATGCCGTAGAAGAGTGCCCTATATGCAAGGCTGGGCTGAGAGCACTTCGTGGTGAAGCTGTGGTCCTGTGTATCAAGAGCAGAGAGAGGTAGTTAGTCATGTTCATCTGAAGTCAGACAGAAGACAGGGTAGATTTGCACCATATAGACTAATCAGAGCTGCGTTAGCTGAAGGGTCTGGAGGAAGCAGAGTTTCTAGGAGGCAGTGAGTAGAATACAAAGGGTAGGGAAGGGAAGAAACAAAGATGGGTACTGCTGGGGTCGGCAAGGTGGGTAAGAGAGAAGAAAACAAAGCAGTTAACACGTTACATGGCATACTGGTTATAAAAGCTAATTCAGGTAATGGGGTAAGAATCCGTACCCTTGGTTTAGAGTAGACCAAGGGTCGGCAGCATCTTTAGCTGAGGTGCTTAAACACCCGACCTACAGGAAGTTCGTGTGCCAGGAACAGACAGCGAGGGAGCCATAAAGGGCTCGATCCTTGTTGTGGTAGCACAGCCATGGCCCCAACCCTGCCACCTGCCCAAGGCGCCCGCGCGCCCGCCCGCCATCAGCAATGAGCCCGGCCGGGCTTCCGCAGACATCAGTGCAGCTGTTTGCAGCCTCCCCGTGGCCTGTGGCGAGCAGCCCAGGCTCTATGGTAGGCGGCAGGGGCTTGCAGCTGTGGTGGATATGAGGAATAGGGGAATGAACCTTGGATATTATAAGGATCATGGTCTGTGTTGATAAACTACTTCATTTTAATCTCTTTTATCTACTGCTTTCCTGCTGGGTATCAAGGACAGCCAGAGTCATATGGCTAGAAGGAGAGGACACATTCAGGAGCATGCCATTGTAGCTCAGCAGTGTGGGTACTCCCCTGAAAGAGAAGAGTCCTGGGTTTCTGATCCCTGTTACTAAACTTCTATGGATTTTATCCTGTGACACTATAAGCAGTCTCAGGTTTCCCTCTTCCTAAGCAAGGTTTCTAGCCACTAGGGCATTAAATGACATAAGATTATCCTGTTATAATAATATACAAAATAATGTTTTTTAATGAAAGTGGCTGAGGGCTGTGCTTAGTGCTGACCTCAGTGGTGTTGTTATATGTTAGGTCTGACAAAAAAAGACCTGAATGTGGCTGTGGAGGGACTTAGGCAGGGAGATGTCTAATTTGTGAATCCCAAATAGCGTTAGGGAGGAGATAGATGCTAAGATGCTCAGCTCAGCCAAGATGGCCATGCCTCTGGATGTGAACTTAGGTACCTAAATAACTACTGGTGAAAACATAGAGGCCTATGGCTTTTCACATGCTTATAAATGATTAGATGGGGTTGTTACTTGCAGCCTTGGACTTAGCTGCCTAAGGTCAGTCTACACTGTACTTTAGATACATAAGTTCTTTTATGAATCTGACCTTAGTCTCTCTCAGTTCCTCACCTGTATCAAAGCTGGCAAGAAGTAAAAAGGAAGATACATAATCTGTTTCCAAACAAGTGGCTGTATCATAAACAGAAAATTCCAGGGTTTTAAGTCTGAAAACCGCATCTAAGCAGTGCGCAGTTCAGAGGTCAGCAGACCCAAACTCTCTGAAAATACTAGCTTGAAAGTAGATCTGGCTTAGGATACCTGGGATCCAAGTAAAGATGGGTCCCCCAACAAAACTTCTGTTGATGTCAGCAGGACCGGGACTGTGTTGTCAATCATTACTGGGAACTTTGCTAATGTAAGCAGGGTTGTGTAAGGCTGCCTGTGAGTTTTAGCTGGATGCAACATCATATCTAATAAGGCTGGAAGGCTCTCTTGTGGTCTTTGTCTCGGACGGCCAGGGCCAACTCGAATGCGTTAGAAATTGGTCGTACGTTAGGGCGGGCTGGTGAATGGAGAGGCAGACACAACTTATTGGTTGCAAAAAACTTTACTCACGCCGCTTGCAGTCACGACGCAGGTGGTCCGGTCGTCTGAACAACCACGCGAGTTGTTCCAGCTGGCGGGGCCAAAGCCAGTTAATCCGTCCGCAATTCGAAGCCGGCGGGGAAAGGGGTACGTCTGGGATTGCGCTCGGCGACGGGAAGAAAGATCGATAGGTGATCAGTCTATCGATCGGCAGCCACAAGTCAGATAACTTCAGAGGCACTCTGCAGCATGCTCAAAGCTCTTCGAGTTGGGCGGAAGTCGCGCGGAATTTTAAACGGCCAGCGAGCCAATTACTAGCCGCCATGTGTGAATAATTTAGCGCTGGCCAATAACGGGGCACAAATTTACATTCGAATGGCAGGAACTCTTTGCACCGTGTATTTCTGTGCTGCAAAGAAGAAATGCATCCTGCAAAGGAAACTGCAAATTGGCGGGAACTCTCTCCTACACGCGGGTTCTCAATTGCAGCAGAACACTCTGCCGTGCAAAGGAGCTCTCATGTGACCAGGAAATTTCATAGTGCCAAAAATCACTGGGTTGTGACAGTCTTCTTGTCCGAATTCCTGGATATCACTGCCTGCTGGACTTCTCTCAATGAATTCCTGTTTAAATTTCCCTTGTCGTCTGTGGGAGTTATGTGTGTACAATGGGAGAGAATCGAGGCACAGTTTTCTTCCTATAATTCAGTGTGGCAAAAGATCCACCTGTGCAGCAATAGTGGCAGCATTAATAATTTTGTCTGCTTTGAACCCAAGGATTAGAAAAGCTGTGAATTGGGAGCAGCCACTGATGTTTCAATAACGGAGGCTGATTGCAGTCCTCTTGCCATCTTGGATGTGACTGGCAAGCACATTTTGAATAATTCGCTTCTGTGACTTATTCTGACAGAACTTGTAGACCAGAGTAAGGAGATTTGGATGCTCTGCTTCGCTTCGGCTGGCTGGAGTTTATGCTCCTTTGTAACAGATGCATGCATTTTAGAAAACACAATGTACGCTAGGAGCCATTGCCCAGAAGAAATGGGGAGGATGATTCACCTTTTTTTTTCTTTTAGTAACAATCATAAATATTATGAGGTAAAGTGTAAAGCTATCCATTCAAATGAGGTAGGTGCTTTTGACAATCCTGGGATGTTCCTG